TCTCTCTCTTTCTCTCTTCTTCCCCGGCACTCTGCCATTTTTATCAAGGATATACGCCGACCTTACAAGGATACTTTATCCTACTTTCAAGAAGCGTTTTACCTGGCCCAGATGAAAAAAGATTTTAATCGCGAATGTAAGTTCGTTTCTTCACCCCTTCGTGTGTTATCATAAGAACTCGTGCATACCTCGTAGGTGCGAAATGAAACTCGCCTACTTGTTTTATCTGTCTCGTTAATCCCCTCGAGTATCGAGCGTATTTGACGTCTCCTCCTTCATTTCAAATTCAACGTACGACATGGATTCAGTTACGAGCAGCTGATCAAAATAATAATGCATAAGACCTTCGCTCAGTTGCTAAACCAAGAGCGGGATTCACGAGGGAGCAGTGGGATTCAAAGTTGGCCCTTCGCCTCAGGACGGACTTCGCGGGAACGAAAATTTAGGAGTGACCTTGCGCGTCGGTGCAGCGCGTGGAACACGACGGGGTCTTCCTTCGTAGCCGTTCCGGCGAATGCGAGCGAGAGAATAGGACGTTAATCGTGGCGCTCCTTCTCGTGTGCCCTCCACGTAATCTCGCAGTAACCTTGACCCCCCTCCCTCTCCTCCATCCCCCGCCATCGTTTCCACGCACGCAGTAATTTACCGCGAAACACGCGCGTCGTTACTCAGCCGTCGCTTTGTTCTCGAATTTTTTGCAAGTCGACGCCTGCCCCGAGATCTTCTTTCTTTTTTTTTTTCTTTTCCTTCATTCCCGGAGGATTCTTTATGTAATGATCGATAATGACGGCTGGACATGTGCCCCGGCTAATGACCTCGCGAAAGGAATACTCCCACCGTGATCTATGCCGTTATTAAATTTGTCCCCGTGCCATGTTCCCGTTGCCAATCTGTCTTGTTAAATTTGTTGCGTGTGCAATTTTGTACAAATGCAAAACCGATATGCGACGTTAAAGCCGGCATATTACATTCTCCTATAATTCGCGAATAATTATAGGAAAAGAGAGGTATTATACTGGATATTATGATATTATGCATAGAGACTGCTCGAGTAAAAAGTAATAATGTAATAATGTAACGTGTTGTATTCTCTTCTCTCCGTTTCATTTTACTTAATTAGGAAATTTTCACAGCCGCTTAAATATATTCGAAGGGGGAAATGTAGAAAGCATAATCCATTTGTAGAATCGATATAAAAATAGCGCATGTTCGAAATTTCACGATTGCGTACAGAAAAATACATACTGCATTCAAGTAAATATTACTTGTTTCAAGTATTTTTCATATATGTTTATTTGCATATATATTGTGAGTTCTTATCATAAAAATTGAGTAATTCGGTTGGCTTCGATAAAACTCCAAAATTATTTCATGTCGAATTTCCTTGCTTGCAATTACACGGTTAATTATCATAACATCTGTTCGAATCATCGTTAAATGACAATTTAAGTTCGAGATACGCTACTTTGAGTATGACTAAAAGTCTAAATTATCAAAATTACACCGATGATACAATTATCTAAAGATCCAAATTAGTTAGCGCGTAAGGATACGTCCCGCCATCTGGTGCATTCGTGTGCAACGGTGCGATGAGTTGGCGACCGTCACGTTGAGGGACGAACGGAATCGTAAAACTAGGTCCAAGCTTATTTAGGGGGATGGTAACCATAATACGCTGACGTCCAAGGAAGCGAAGGGAACGAAGGAAGAAGTTGAAGAAGAAGAAGGCGGGGAGAGGTGCACCTTGTGGACAGGATCAGGACGAAGGAACAGTCTGCGGGAGGAGCGGAAGGAGAGGGAGGAATGGTGTAATAACTCTGTCCGTGAAAGCCTCGTCGTGAGTTCATTAGTTCCGTACCGACGCGCCACAATGCCGGTTTAGTCCGCGGTTAGGACTTTCCGCGGAAATGCCACGGCGCCAGTGAATTTACAGCGGCGAGTTTACCCGCGAATTCCGCGTCGAAGCGTTTACATTTATGCGCGCCGGGATATTATGCGTCGCGTTAATAAACGTTAGAGTTGGAATTGGATTCACATCGGTCACTTCAGAAAATGTGTTCTCACCGCAGTATAGATAGATACATTTATATTATCATTTATATTATCACTTTAAAGTTTAGTCCATTAAGAGTATTAGGGTGAAAAAAGTGAATAATACTCGTAGTAAAATATAATAACACAGCATAGTATAAGTGTATTATGGAAATATAACTGGGTAGAAATTTAAAACGGGACATGGAAAGGGCCTATACAGTTTTTCCCTGTTTTTATCTAGGCTGCAAAGGCAAACCCACTTAGATCCTGCACAGAAATGTAACGCCGTGAGCCAGATTTGTAAATCTAACTTAGACCCTATCTTGACATGCCTAATTATCTTGGGGTGCGTTCGGAAACGTCACCCGCGAGTGCACCCGCTGCGTTGGAATGAGAGAGATATGAGAGTGAGATAAAGAGAGAGGGAGAGCACTCAGCAGGTGACGTTTTCGAACGCACCCTTGATATGTCTAACTAGACCCTATCTTGGCACGCTTAACTAGGTTCTATTTTGGTACGCATAACCAGACTCTATCTTGGCATACCTAACTAGATCCTATGTTATTACATTTAACTATGCGCTATAGAATGTAAAATTTTACATACACACAAAATAACCTATTTATAACAAAATTTAAATGCAGTTTGTAGTCTGTGATGTGAAATTTTCAACTTAAATACTATTTTTGAGGAAAATTGACTGGACTATGACTATAACTATGAACACAGGCTTTGTTTGATGGGTATATGTGCCTATTCAAGGCCTATTTACGAATTTTTACTCAGAATTTGCTTTTCTTAGCCATATGTAGGCTCAACAAAGGTAGAATTAATTAGGGATATCCACGTCAATGTCTACTCAGGAACCATTTACGAATTTCCACTAAGAATTTGTCTTTCTTGACTATATCTAGACCCAACGATGGCAGGCCTTCTTAAGAGCATCCACGTCAGTATCTATTCAAGACCTACTTACCGATTTTCAGTAAAAAATTATCTTTCTTAGCTATATTTAGGCACAACGATGGCAAGACTATTTTGGGGTATACTTAGCTAGGGTCTTTACAGATTTGAGACAAGTCCCGATTAATTTCTACTCAGGTAACTTGACCACATTTGCTAATTTTATTAAGTTTATAAAAGAAATTTAATGGGAATAACAATAGGTCTTTTTTAGCGCAAATATAGGTATAATAATAAGGAAGAGTAAGCTGGAATTTAAGGAGGACACACGGAAAAAAAAGATTTTACTGCCGCAACTAATCAAGATTTGTTGAAAATATATTTGTTGCTAAAAAACTAACTGAAACTTTTACTACTATTTCTGTACATCGGCTTTATAACTAAATATATGTCTACTGATAGATATTTTTAGATATCCGTATGTTATAGCGAAATTTAGCTGCCAGACACAAATTCTTGTTGCAACAGCTAATCTTTTTTCTGTGTGGATATCGATATAATGCAATTTTTGTATTTTGCACTATTTTTCTATTTGTTTGTATAGAATTGTAAATGTATGTATAGAATAGAAATACAAATTCCAATGAATAACAAAATACTTCATGTTATATAAAACATGGAAAAAAAGAAATTTCTACACATTGTTTTAAATTTTTTATGTAACATGGGTTACTCGGCCATTTATTGACATTTGTCCGCGCTTTCAATCTGAATAAACACATTTACAATTCTATACAACCAAATAGAGAAACAATACAAAATACGAATTTCTGTCGATATTCTGTATTCTTTTAAATCGATTAATCGATCTCTCGCTCTACTTGAACTCGATCGTGAGAAGCGAGGCTGCTGAAAGTAGCAGCGATCTGTAGATTTTTCTTGTGATGAAATAACAACCAAGATCGCAGTTAAAAAAAATATGGATTTCTCTCATAGGAACGCACGAGATCCGACGCGCTGATGCAACGGAAGAGCGATTAACGTCTCGTTGAAAACGCCCGAGTTATTTCTCTCTTAGCGCTAAATTTTTCACGATATTTCGAAAATGGCGCGCACACACGCGCGGGCTCTTCCCGCGGAAGAAACAAAGTATAAATTCCTTTCATTCGAAATACATATAATCCTAACGCAAAAACTTCGTTTTCAAAATAGAAATCCCCCGCGCGAGCTTCTGCACCCGCGCGCGAAATCGCGAGAAGGCGGCCGCGCGAATAGATAGATTAAATACCGCGCAACGCACAGCGACATAATCCCGTCAGCGATAACGCATCTATCCTTCAGGATTCTCGCGCACGCGGAAGCTTTCCGGAAGCGGAAGCCAATGCGGATTCGGTTGCAATGGACGTCATGTGTGCGAGAAGTTCGGCCTAGCGCGTATAATCTCTTTCCTCCCTCCCTCCCTCTCCCCCTCTCTCTCTCTCTCTCTCTCTGAGAGCAGATAAGGATAGACTAATATTGCTTCCGTGCATAACCGTATTCTATAAACAATATTATATTTATACGGCTTTGCTGTGGAATGTTATATATCCCCCCAAAATTCGCAATACACTGTTGATGAATTTAAATTAATGAATGAAATCGACTGCTGTGAAGAAAATAAAGAAACTTGAAAAAAATTTCTATTGCATTTTGCGGACGCATTGATTGAAAGGAACATCTTATTATTGAAGGATGCGTCCATTAGACGCGCTACATATGCTTTGAAGCGCTTAAAAAAATAATTCCATCATGATGCTTGAAAGCATTTTAAGGGTTTAATGGACCACATGACGTATTTCTTCCGAGATATTGGCCTGTAATGCTTTATACGCTTGAGGGGATGATGTCCCAGAGCGCACAATAAATGCTCCGTTTGTCTCTACATTCGGATCGCGAATCGTTGCTGCAGCTTGCGTGCGTACATCATTTGCGCGAAAAAAGTCGCGAAATTCAAATTCCGAAATGATCCAACCGACTGACCTGACCGATCCACTAATCATGCCCTTTTCCGCTTATGATTGCAGAGAGGTACGACACGGCGTACGCGTGCGAAGGCAAGACGCTGGAGATCGAGTGCGGCGAAGGGAAGCTGATCCATCTGATACGGGCGAACTACGGCAGGTTCTCGATCACGATATGCAACGAGCACGGGAACACTGACTGGAGCGTCAACTGCATGTCGCCCAAGTCGTTCCGCGTGCTGAACAACGAGTGAGTACCGCACGCGTAGTAATACCGTACGCTTTTCTGTACATAATATACGTACATTTGCTGTGATTGACTTCGTTCGATTTGCTGCACATACAGCATACATACATACATATATATGCATCCCTTCGATCCTGTCTCCGCCTCTGAGGTATGCCGCGAGCAGAGCTGACCGAGATAGTTTCCGGACTGATAAGTGCACCGCGGTGCGCGTTCGATCGGAAAACGAAGAGAACGCACGGTGTTGTAGGATTGAAAGACGACGTTACGTAATACAGTTTCTCTCGCGCGTCAAATGATCATTCTTTTTTCCCTCTCTTCTCTATTTAATTCGGGAATAGATATACAAGGAAAAATAGTCTTGGTTCGTGCAATAGGAATCAGACGAAAAGCTCGCTGATGAGAAATAATATTTTTGTTACTGTGACCGTGCGGAAACATTCGTTTGAACATTCGGCTGTATTCAGCAACTCGGTGGAGATAACTGAGAGCAATTAGCTGCGTGGAAATCTCCTACAGGAACCTTTCTGTTCCTACAACTGAGTTTTTCATCTGGTTCCCACAGAAAATTCTGTTACACTGACGAAATTGTTTTTCTCGTGTATTTTTGCGTGTCAAAACGAATTATTCAACGCCGAGCAATGGCTCGCGCACACGTGTGTTCTTTCGTTGAAAATTTGATTTCTCCGCGAGACTATTTGCACATTTCGCATCGGCCGATACGGCCATACAGCACAGCCCACAATCGGAAGAATTGCGCGCAAAATATGCCGGGAAGGATTATTTGTGCTCGCAGTCGCGGCATAAAATACATATATAATCGAGAAATTGTCGAGCGTAATTATCGGAAGACTAATTAATTCTCCCATGGGCAAATGCAATTTTTAACAAGGCAAACGTTCGACAAGATGAAAAGCGGGTTCTCTACATTCTTGCAATTGAAAAAATTACCGGAGAAGATAATTATCAGAAATTCTTATCGGCTGTGTGAGAGAATAGAAAGAAAGAGGGAGAAAGAGAGAGAGGGAAATAGATACAACAAACGTATCGCCGATTGACCTTAATTATTCTCTAATGAAGTGTAGAATTGCGAGGAAGAATATCTCAGGTGAAACTTGGCAAACATTTTTCCAATCTTTGCTGGAGGGACGATATCCCTGACGATTAAAATTTTGCATCGTCGTCTTAGCGTCCAGGCGTCGTATTATACGTTTGTTTTTCTTTCCGAAACAAGCACCCTAAAGATCTGCACATCGTTTCTCAGAAGCGACCGATAGATTTGCGGTATAAAAGAACACTCAGCTCTGCTCGCGAGACGCCGTCTCCGATCCTTCGCAAGCGCTTAGAAAAAGGCGGGAAGTAACGAGCGAGGCCCAATTAAAAGAGACGTCGGGGCCGTAGATCGTAGATCGGGCTTGTCATTTCGGCGGTTATCGCGCGATCCGCCATTTCTCGTCGTGAGCTCCACACAGGGAGTCTCCAGCGCGTGACACCTGCGAGAAGGTTTCGCGCCGCTAACGAGAAACGTTTCCTGACGTATACCGATCGCGGTCCGGTGATGTGATGACCTTGAACGGAACCTCGCCGCGCGATCTATGGGACCTATCGATCCGATCTATCTCGGTGCTTCGCATACCGCAAGGGATGCAACGAGCGTGTTCCGAGCGTAGCTCCGCTACGAGCGAGACGGAGCCGCGCGTGATCGGTCGATCGATCGATCGATCACGAAATCATCCATCGACGGAATATAATTGAGCAATGTTCCGCCGATGTGAGTGGGCATGATAAATTTCAAGCGTGACCCCGAGTCGAAATTTTGATCCTTCTTTCGACCTCGGTATTCCACTTAACGCCTACTTTGGTACTCTGAAGCTTATTATCAGCCTCTTTCGATTTTGTTTAACCTGCAGTTTTGCTGGGAGGTTCTCTTTAGGACCTCTGTGCCCGTTTCTGCCAACTCAATCGGCTGGTTATTCCAACGGAATTGACCAATCGCATTTCCCGTTAGTCAGAACTGACAGATGGTCAATTCTGTTGGAATAATTAGCCGGTTAAGTTAATCAAAGTTGATAGGAACGGGTAGTGACATTTTGTACCATTTAGAGACGCTAAGGAGAACTTCTGTTTTCACGAGTCAAGGGTGTATTACTCATATCTCAAAAATAATGAAAATATTTTGCGAAAATTTAGAGGTTAATCTACATTGCACATAAAAGTGGTCGCAAACAATCTGACGTTGCTTCAGAGCCCGGAGTCAAACGTTACTCCGCTCTGAACAGTGAGCTCAGCAAATAATGACGTCAAATGACGTTTTAATAACGCATTAGTTACGTCTCCAACGTCAATGATACGTCACTAATACGTCATTTGATGTCATCCTGGCAGTGCTGTTATGGAATCGTACACTAATCCTTCAGAATATACAGATAAGAAGTTTCAAGTCGAAAATAGGCTTCAAATTTCGACTCGGCATGCATCGCGTCTAATTATAGCGCGGACAAAGCCGAGCTACGTATCGACCACGAGTATTGACTCGCCCGTTTAGCTAGAAGCTCTTGCGAAGGAATCCGAAGAGCGTTTCCTTGCACACCCTACTCCCTATACATCTTTCTTCTTTCACCCACAAGTCGACAAAATGGAGCATAGATTAAGAACGAGTGCAAAGGGCGGAGGGGGGTGGGAGTGGGGTTGGACAGAAGAACCAGGCGAGGGGAACGAGGTCGGTGACGGACCGCTTCACATGGTCGAGCGAACTGGCCAATTGCTGGACCATTGAAGAGCGCGTCTCGCGACGGATCTGCTAGGAAGAGTCGCGTAATCAGCGATAGCTTCGCTATCACGGTCCTCGTGAGAATCCGCCTCGCGCCTCTCGTCGCCGTTGTCGCGAAGTACATGTCGCATTCGTCACTTCACTCGGAGATCGATCGCGCGCTTCCCTTGCCGGGGATGAAGACGCGAAGAGCAAAAGTTTCGCGAGTTCACCAAGATCGTGAATACGTAATTCTCGCAGAGGGAGACGAGAACTCAAAAAGGGGAAAGAAGAGGAAAGGCGTGTGGAATGATTTCGGCGACAATCATGGCGATCGATCTCCAGGTGATCCTTCGAGAGTCCGAGACGCGTAACTGGGGACGACGGAAAGTAAAAGTGAAACATGGAATATAAACATGAAATTCTCCAACGTCCCGTACATACGAATCAATCATTGGGATCGCGAATCTTTGCTTCGCGATTGTGAATCGTAAATTCGTCACGCTTCCGCGAATGGACTTGTACAGCGGAGGTGTAGACAAGGGAGATATGCGTCCATCTAGTTACGTTGCGGTTCATCCTCGGACTCTTTCATCCTTTGATTTCACGTGGATCGCGTTATAGACTGTTTGACTGCTTCACGGAGTATCACCGCGAGCAATACTTTCTCGCTCGTCGCGTTTCCCAACTCCGTATTCAACGATAATCCGAAATCTCTCGTATTACCCGTCAGCATACTACGATACGGCGTGTAAACCTATCGCGACGCAAAGTTTGATCCAACTATTTCACAGACGATTTTCCGCGATCCCACCGTGTTTCCATCACGTTTACATTCGATGTTTTTACCTGTGAAGCAGTCGATCTCTGTCTATGGCGAGGACAGATGAATCTGTCCTCTCATTGAAAGAAGTACTCTTCAGACTCCTGCTTTTTATCGTTTATTCTCTTTTGCGTTATCAGTATTCATATCTGTATTCATAGCACACGTCTGGCGCGAGATGTCAGTCTATTTGATGTTTAATCCGCGATTATACGATATGCAGTTACCTTATCAGGTAAAACGGACTTAGTATTTAGTTGAACGCGGTAATAAAAAGGATATGAATACGGATTGTTATGTTACTACATATTATTTGATAAAGGACGATGTGTCGAGGCGAAGTATCGATCGAAAAATGGGCAATACGAGAGACAGAGAAAAAGAGGAAAACGAAGTCTGTATTTCGGAGAGAAAAGTTTCAGAACTGATCCTACAGCTTTTGTCTTTGTTTGTTAGCAAATAAACCGCACAAGCCGTAGTTACAAGGTTTGATTAATATTGAAAGGTCAGAAAAGAAATGGGGAGTATTTTTGATTAATTGCACAAATTAATACTAGCATGATTAATTTGCGTTGCTCTTGCTCGGAAAGCGACTATTATGTTCATTATGATATCAGAGTAGATAACAAATCTCAATGAGTTACATTAATTAATTGTATTAATTAATTCAGCTGTATTTTTGGTATAGATTTAGATGTCCTCTAATCTAATAAAGTAAAACTGATTTATATAACATACATTTCGATAATATATTTTCAAAATAATATAATTAATATGTTTTAATGGAATCTCTTCTTGTGTGAATTTTGTGTATAGAGAAAGAAATTGTGAATATCAATTATGATATATTTAAAAGAAATTAATTTGTGTTCCAGAAATATATATCTTGACAGAGAGAGAATATTGAATTCACTGATAATCGGAAAGCTCGGACCTTTCCGAGTGCATGGAGAAGTCTCGATCGTTTTTCCGCTTCTCTTTCTCTCTGTCATCTCGCGCAATTCACGGTGATTTTTTCCAAATCGATATGCACCCGGAAAAGAACATATAATATAGGATCCGCTATATTTTTCTCATTAATGATGGGATAAAGGTTTAACGAAAAATTCGTAATATCCATGTCCGATTTGCAAGCGCCATTGAAATCTCTCGATGCTCATTTGCGTCGAAACGCGCGCGAAATAGGAAGAGAGAGAAAGAGAGGGAGGGAGGAAGGGAGAAAAAGACAGAGATAGAACCCGGTTTCCAGAGAATTTTAATCTTCTCGCGTAGGATGATCCTTCTCTCCCTCCCTCCCTGTGCGTATCGATACCGGAATAAATTATTATCACCGCGACTGTGTGCCTTTGATGCTCAGTCCTTGCTCTTCATTAAAATCACCGTTGCGCGATCGATCGATACCTTCCGCCCACGCATCAGTCCGCATTCTGA